TATCAACATGATGAGCTCCATGAAAACCCATCTCATCTAACAAATCAAGTACATATTTCCATTGAGATAAATTGTTACCAGCTTGTGACCTAGCGACTTCACTACCCAAGAAATATCGAAGCTTGCCTAGATCTTTGGTCTGAAAATGCATTTGTAGAAATTGTTTCAACCGGGCAATCCCATCAGCATCATCACCAGTGATTACAATATCATCTACATAAACTACAAAAACAACGTAACCTGCACCAGTTTGTAAATGAAATACTGAATGATCTGTCTGACACCTCTGAAGACCAAATTCTAAAACAACCTTAGAAAACTTCCCAAACCATGCCCTTGGTGATTGCTTTAACCCATATAAAGCCTTTTTCAATTTACAAATATAGTTCCGGTACTCCCCCTGAGCAACAAACCCAGGTGGTTGCTCCATATAAACCTCTTCGTGTAAGTCACCATGAAGGAAAGCATTTTTAATATCCAGTTGAAACAAAGGCCAACCAAGGTTAGCGGCGATGGAAATCAAAACTTGAATAGAAGAGATCTTAGCAACTGGAGAGAATGTTTCATCATAATCAACGCCATATGTTTGTGTGTAACCTTTAGCAACCACTCGGGCTTCCAATCGATCAACAGTCCCATCAGGATTGAACTTCGGAACAAAGACCCATCTATTACAAACAGGATGTACTCCAGTCGGTGAAGGAACGAGTTCCCAAGTCTTATTCTCATGTAAAGCTGCCATTTCTAATTCCATAGCCTTTCGCCACTCAGGATCAGATAAAGCCTCTGTCACTGTCTTAGGTACAAAAACACTAGAAAGTTGGAATGTGAAATAAGAAAAAGAAGGTGACAACGAATCAAAAGTAACATAGTGGCTGATAGGATGTTTAGTTACACAAGTACGTTGGCCTTTACGGAGAGCAATGGGCAATGATTCAGGATCAGAACAGATGACGGAAGCAGGATCTGTAGACGAAAAGGTGACGGATGGGGCCATAGATGTTGGTGGCTTAGGTCGTCAAGTATAAACCTGTAAAGGAGGTGGTGGTTCCTTAGGAGAGGAGGACAACTCTGGTGCAGCAGACGAAGTCGAGTCTAGGTCTGGAGAAATACCAACAGGTAGATATGGTATGGGTAAGCTAGCAGGGACACTAGTGGATTCAGATGATATACCATGATTCGAGAAATAGGGTGTGGACTCGTCTAAAGTGACATCTGCACTCACAAAATAACGTTGTAGAGAAGGATTGTAGCACCGATATCCCTTTTGTGTTTGGGAGTAACCAAGGAAAATACATTTCATAGAGCGAGAGTCGAGTTTGTCACG